GTGAGTGCAAGTGTGCCATCCTTGCACAGAGACATGCTAATCTCTTTTGCATCAGTCTAATTTTAGTATCCTTTTTCTTTTAATAGCTATTTGGATTTATTCCTTTGTTCATGACTACCATTTTCTAGTCTTTTTTTTTTTTTTGGCAGTGCTGAGGAAATGAACCCAGTATCAATCATGCTAGGTAAGCATGTACACTGCTTTGTACATGTCCTTTCCCTGTGTATTATTCATTACATATAGGAAGTTATTTTTGTTCTAGTAGCTTACTTTATAATTATAAACTTACATTACATCTTTAGTTCTCTATTTATATTACTATTTACTATTCTCCTACCATGAATAAAAATAAAAATAGTATATTTCATTTTCATTTTAACACCCAATTACTATTTTTTTTATAGTTTACAAAGTTGTACTAAAGATACAACAACCAATACAGAAGGTTGGCATAGAGTTAGTAAATACTATGAACTGCTTTTCAGAAAAGTTAGGAATCAAATGCCATAATTAATTTCACCTGAAGAAGGTAGGAACTACCAGTTTGTTTATTTTTTAAAGATTTTTTTAAAAAGATGGACACAATATCTTTATTTATTTTTATGTGGTGCTGAGGATTGAACCCAGTGCCTCACATGTGCGAGGCAAGCGCTCTACCACTGAGCGTTATATAACCCCAGATCCCCAGTTTATTTTTTTAAGTCACTTTTTAAAAAACACGCAGCAAAACTAATTCTTTGGCATATACACATTCATAAATACATATAGCTTGTTTAATTACCATCATAACCTGTCACTCAAAAGACAAAGCACTGGCATTATAAACACTTCCTCCCACCTGCCTCCTTCATTCCCTTTCTAATTTTTGTGAGATGTGGTATTTGAGGCTGTTAGGGTGTTAAATATTCACATTCTATGTTGTCATCCTAAAATAATTATTTGTTTTAGTTTCAATTCTAGATGTAAAAGTACCATTGGTCACAATCAAACATTTTTCCTGTTTTGTGGTACTTGAGATTGAACCCAGGAGAACTTTACCACTGAGCTACATTTCCAGCAAGCCTCCATAGCACTGTGCCTCCCCACTCCCTTTTTTAATTTTTTGAGGCAGGGTCTTACTAAGTTGCTGAGGCTAGCTGGAACTTGTGATCCTCCTGCCTCAGCCTCCTGACTCACTGGGATTATAGGCATGTTCCACTGTGTCTGGCTAATTTTCCTGCCTACCTTTCAGTTGGATTAATGTAAAATACTACAATTTCTGACATATATTTAATGATTAGCAAATTTAAGGAAAAAAGCAAGTTTACTAAAGTCTGCTTCTTGTATTTTTTCCTTAAATGGAGTTTCCAAATTTATTATTAGTAATAGTATAATTAGTAATAGTAGTAAATGACTACATTCTCTAAAGTGCTATGGAATTTCTTGCTCATATCAGGGAGAAGGAGCTAAGTTCACTTTATACTTTTGATAAATATATATCACAAAAGGTAGCATTCTTATTTTTTTAAAAATCAAGAATATAAATTGTCTTTTGCCACCAAAAAAAAAATTAATGGGTGATTATGTTTTATAAAGTCTTTACTCCATGCCTCTGTGTGTGTGTGTATATGTGTGTGTGTGTATAGAAAGAGAGAGAAAAAAGAGGGAGTATACCGACATAAATTGAACCTAAATGCTTGTAAAAGTAAATTATGGTCCCACATGTTTATATGGGCCTTCGATATTCTCTCTCTCTCAAAGTACAATCATTCTTTTTATAAAAATCTTTCCACTACTAATTTCTGAGTGAATCTTTCAAAAAAAAAAAAAACATAAAGAAAAACTTTGCAAAAAAAAGAATGAGCATTTAAATGATGGTGATTCATCGAGACTTGTACAAAGAGGTTAAACCATTTCAAGTTACTCATTTCTGATTTCTCTTTTGTTAGCAAATAACATTCAACAATACTTTTCAAGCAGTTAAATGCCAACCTCGACTAATATAGCTCCAGATCATCTTAACACTAATATTAGCTATAGAAAAATTAGAATGAACTAGACTCACAAGCTTCCTTTTCATCCCTCTGATAATGGGAAATAGCTCTGCCATGGTTCACATTGCTGTAGGTTCTTAATGAATTTCAACGAGAATTCAATTTAAATGCATTACATTGCTGTCAGTTCTTCAGTAAGATCAATGAATACCATTTGGGGGGGGGGATGGAAACAGTTATCTGATTTTCCCTAGAACTTCATAGCAAGAGTCAAATTAAACAAAAGCACTTTAGTAGGATACAACAAAATTAAGGTGAAAAGAACATGGATATTAGAGTCACGGAGTTCTGAGTTAAAAAGAATAAACAAACAAAAACAAAAGACTTTGCCACCTAATATGTATTATCTAGGACACCTTTAGAGATTGTTTCTAAAATCCCGAAGGGCTGTTTGTGAGATTACATCTAATAACCTAAACAAAAGTATATTACTGGACAGCTGGTAAACAGATATTTTTTTAATGTTTATTTTTAAAAAATCATTATAATTTTACAAATACATAGCCAATTTTTATACAGTAAAATTATCTAAAAGTTCTAGTCACACTCATGGCAAAGATCAGGAACCTATCTTGATATAATTACAGGAAATGTGGTAAAATGGGTTTGTTGTGGAAATAAAAAGTCAACCAATTTAAATGGTATTATAAAAAGAAACCCATTGTTCTGGAGAATTTCTGTTACTTTTACCAAGTAATGTTTTGACAGTATTGATTTTTAACTGTATCATAATTGCTCAAGCAATTTTGTAGTCTATTGATGGGCAGAAGGCTATAGTCAAGTGCTTTATCACTAGTTCAACATGTCCCTTTCCTATTACTTTCCGTTAACCGTGTGTATGTGTGTGTGATATTCAGGATGAAACCTAGAGTTTTGTGCATGCTAGCACCCTACTACTGGTCTATACCTCCAGCCCTATTTTTTATTGTAAGATAGGAACTTGGGGCCTAATCCCACATGATGGAGATGAGGGCCTACTTTTTTTTCTATTAGACGTAGGGTCTATGATTTTATTCCTTGGTCCATGATCCATTTTGAGTTGAGTTTTATGCATAGTGAAAGATACAAGTTTAATTTCATTTTTTTGCATATGGATTTCCAGTTTTCCCAGCACCATTTGTTGAAGAGGCTATCTTTTCTTCAATGCATGTTTTTCGTACCTTTGTCTAATATAAGATAATTGTAGTTTTGTGGGTTAGTCTCTGTGTCCTCTATTCTGTACCATTGGTCTACCAGTCTGTTGGTGCCAATATCGTGATGTTTTTGTTACTACTGCTCTGTAGTATAGTTTATGGTCTGGTATAGTGATGCCACCTGCTTCACTCTTCCTGCTAAGGATTGCTGTAGCTATTCTGGGTCTCTTCTTTTTCCAGATGAATTTCATGACTGCTTTTTCTATTTCTATGAGGAGTGTCATTGGGATTTTGATCGGAATTACATTAGATCTGTAGGGGTTCTGTTAGTGTATGATCCTGGTTTGTTTGGAGCACTTTTCTCCCTTGTTTTTTCATGTTGTCTATGGGTCTTCCTTTCTTGCAGTGTGGGTCTGAGATATTAGTTTCTACCCTATATTCTTATAGTACCCATGCAGATTGTTTGTATTTCACCTTGATGTTGGTCTTCCAGACCCTGCTGGCGTCCATCCATGTATGCTACTTAGGGGGTGGCAACAATAGCAGAGGTAATTCAAGATAATAGTTGAGGTGCTCCAAGATAGAAGCAATGCCTTACAGATATGGGGCTGAAAGGGTGGGCCTCATACCCTCTTTGGGATGCCTGCTCTGATATACAGCTGCTTCTAGGCCCTGACTGTTGTCAAAAAGTTAGGGGTTATTGTGTGGGGAACGATGTAACAATGACTGCAGTGTCCTAAGACGGAAGTTGGTTAGGCTTAGGCTCCCAGGGTTGGGGGGTGTGTGAACTTGGACCTACCCTGGACCTGGGTCCAGCGCAAGTCAGTGTGTGTGCCTGGGTTCCCACAGTGGTCGGAAGGGGGGTCCTATGTTGGAGGCTGGGTACTGGAGGCTGGGCTCCGGTGGGTGTCTCTAGGTGGAGGGATGGACCTGGGCCTACTGTGAGCAGGCCGGTGTGGGCAGATCTGGGCTGCTTATCTTGACGTTCTGAGGTAGTCTGCGGGTTGGAAGGGGTGGTCCTGTACCCGAGGCTAGGGTCCAGCAGGACACCCGATGGAGGGGATAGATGAGGCCTACTGTGAGCCTGGATCCCAAGCAGACTGGTGCGGGGTCAATTCAGTTTTAATGATTCAAACCAATGAAGATGTACACTGTTATGTGTTCTAGAAGCTGTGGAGTCTGCTCAAGTGATGAAGACAAACAAAACATAATCCCTTCTCTTAAAGAAAACATTTGTTCAAGCAGAGGCCTGCAAAAATACAATCTTCTGTATGTGTAGAGTTACTATGAAAAATATTTTCTATAGACATGAAAGCCTTCCAAATGTATTGGGATTTATTTATATACTTATTGGATATGAGGTGTTTTAAAACTTATTAGAAACCAGTCACTATTTAAATGTTTTCATTAAATCACAGAGAAGTGAGGCTGTATATTTAGTGAAATCATGAAAATCTGACATTAAAAAGAATAATCTCTAACTTTGTATAAAATACGCTATTGGAAAAAGGAACTTAATGACATAAAGATTAAAAATGTAAAGGCATTTCTACTAGATTTTAACTTGAATATTAAAAAACTTCCAGAACCTAGTCCTTATGTTTTTATATTAAAAAGCATATAATAAAAAGTCTTCTTCAAAATACCATTAACTTGGAGTCCTGCATATCTTATATAATGTTCTACTTCAACAATATCTTAACACTTCTAATGGAAATATCTTTCATCTCTACTGGGAACTTTCTCAGCCAGGCATAGTTTATTTGAAATTCAAAGGTTCATTTGGTTCTACTAGACTAAAATTAGATTATTAAAACTGAAATTTTATACTCACCCGATCCTCCTTTTGCCAAGTATTTGTTCTTTGCATAAAGGACAGAATCCAACATAGATTCAAAAAGAAGAAAATAGCCCTGCATGAAACAGGAAAAGATGGATTTCACAAATAGATAGTATCCTCTTAAATGGATCAATTCAAATATGTGGATTACTCTTAAAAAAATCAATCTATCTATCTATCTATCTATCTATCTATCTATCTATCTATCTATCTATAATATTTGTCAATCATACAATATTCTACGAAGTCTGAAATTATTGTTTGTAACTTCTTCACATATTACTTTATTAGAAAATCAGGTCATGTTGTAAGGTGAACCTAGAAATCTCATTATGGTAGATCAAACTGAAGCTTCTTTACAAGTGGTCCCATTTATCAAACTGTTTCTACCTTCATAAGAGGAAAATATTAGATAGAAATTGTTAACAATTCCTAAACTCCCTGAAATGTTGCAATATTAATCATAAGCAATGATTCTCAACTACATTTTGTCTTCCCATATCCAGCAAAGTCTGGAAATGTTTTGGACTGTCACAACTGAGGACAGGGGTTGGAAGAGCTACTGGGGTAGAGCTAAGAGATGCTGATAAATGTACCACAATGCATAAGACTGGCCCCCACAACAAGGAACTTCTTGGTTCAAGTGTTAAAAAATATCCTAGTGTGGAGCACAATTTCTCAATGTATTTCCTGTCCAATTATTTTTTCCTGTAATTAAAAAACAAAGGTGGTGGTGGGGATCCCTTATTCAAAGATGTTTGAGAAACACTAGATGCCATATTTCCTCTTAAGAGACCCATAATGCACATCAACACACTAAAAGTTCTAATTAGTGATGTGATAAACAGAGCTGCGGAACATATTTTAACCAAATGTCACTCACTTTTTTACATCTATCAACATTTTGCGGAATTAGTGTTACCTGGAATATAGATCATTGAAAATAACTGCCTACACACAAAGACTTAGCAATAAAGCTCAGTTATTGATGTGTTCACATTAGGAAAATTAAGGATTTGGCAGAAATACTTTCTGAATTGAATACTTCAGCAATATGTTAAACTTTTTAAAAGTTCCCATATGATGTGAGTACTAAAACAAGGAATTTGTGGAATTCAACTAAGAAATCTTTACCAATTTGACTTCACTTATGCATAAGTATACACAGAAATGTTTATGAATAGGCATTCATCCTCTGATTAAAGTGAATTAAATTTATGCCAAGAAATTATTACAAGAGGGAGCATTAATTCAACCTATGGTAAAGGGATCAGCTGTTAAAACATGTCAACTGGGTGGAAAAAAATGGTTCTCATTTGCAAGAATGATAGATTATAAAATGTTAAAATAAAATTTATACTTTGAAACAAAGAAAATATTCATTAAAGGCCAATCTTTTTGGAATGAGGAAAAGAACAGTTTGGTTTGCAACTGTGTGACACTATTTTCTAGTATTGTGCTTTCAAGTAATTAGCAAAAGTGAAGTATTTTATTTCCATATGCTCAAACTCCATCTTACTTCCATGTATTACAAACAAACCAAAAAAAGTTCTTGAATCAATAAATGAAAACTCCATCTGAAAACATCTTGAATTACTGCATAAAAAGTTTTTATTGGATACTCACCAGAGATTAAATTATATTGTATTTTAAATTGATAAATAGTCAGGACTAGAGACAGTGGTTAATAAGACTTCTGGATTTAAATCCCAGATAAGCCCCTCTCTCTACATGACTTTGGACAAGTTAATATCATTGTGTCTACTTCCTCATGTGTAAAGCAACAATGATATTTGATTTCACGGGAGGTTACAAGGATTAAAATGTTAGTTTGTGCAAAATGGTTTGGAGTAATCTTAGCTGAATAAATTTAAAAATATATTTAAAATATAGATTTCTAAAGGACTAATCAGAATTTTAAAATTATGTTTAATGAGATAGAATAAAGACTTGCCAGTCTGTCCAAAATCACATAACATTAATTTTCATTAACAGTTGCATACTACAACCCATGAGTTAGGACTCAAATTCTGTTTGTTTTTTTCAGGAGTCTATCAAAATACATTTGGTGAAGTGGGTGTGCCAGGGATTAAACCAAGGGGTGCTTAATAACTGAGCAACATCCCCAGACCATTTTTATTTTGAAACAGGGTTTCACTAAGTTGTTTAGGACCTCCCTAAGTTGCTGAAGCTGGCTTTGAACTTGCATTTCTCCGGCCTTAGCCTCCTGAGCCGCTGACATTTTCTTTATTCAGTTATTTTTCTAGACCAGCCTAGATTATGTATCTGTGTGTGCAGAAAATATAACACCACTCAAAATTCTTTTACAACTGAAAATATTTTAAAGTGCAATAAAAATGATTTGACCAAATTGGGCAAATTAGTGCTAATTCCGAGTTTCAGATTCTTCCCACAAAGATAATCATAGTCATGTTTTCCCCCAGGGGCAAAAATCATATTCTCAATTTTGGTATGTATATTTAAGACTTTCCCATGTCTGCTTCCATTTGAAATAATAAATACAAATAGGCACCTTTCCACACACCTCATGATGATTATCTTTAGCCAAGATTAGAATCCTGATCAGACAATGTTAGAGACAGTTACTAAAGTTCTAACCATTTAACCTAATTTTTCAAAGTATCTAAGTATGATAGAAACAAGTGTTAGATTAATTTACTTTAAGCCATACAGTTGATAAATAATACTGGAAAATATTTACTTCCCCTCACAAAACAGTATTCAAGAGTTCTGACTTAAACACTGATTTGATTCAATTTCCACTGCTGTAAAATTCAACAGTGAGACAGAAGATAACCATGCCCAAGTGAAAAAATACTCTCCCATAAGGTCCATGTCTTTGCATTTCATCCTCCAGTCAGTCATTATTAGGTCAGAGTTTTTCTAAAAGCAAATAGTCAAATGCCTTTGTTGATATACGTAAAGGATTCAGAATAGCACCTGGTACACAGTTAACACATAAAGCCTATGAAAAACCACAAGACATGTATTTAATTTTTGTAAGTTACCATATTGGTCAGTGACTATGGGTTAGAGTTGGGGCTGAAATGGATAGATGGCTAAAGCAAGTACTTTTCACCCTTTCCTATTTTTCGCCACTCCTTTCTCTCTTCATTGGTGTATCATTAAAAACAATATCCTTTATTTCTAATATATTTTTCATTCTGATAGCAAGATATTGTTTGCATATGAAGAGGCTTCTATTGTGTTGAAGCTAGCAAATCAATGGAAAAAATATTTCATCAAAACAAGAATACACATTTCTTCATATTTAGAAGATATGCTACATTATTTAAAACTCAATGACCAACAATTTTACTGATTATTTGTTTAAACTGGTGTTCAGGTATGTGTTCAACTGTTAACTTCATCAGAAAGTATTTCTCTGATGGTCTTTGTAAAATATTCTCTTCTTTTCCCATTAGGGTCCATTTCTTTGCCAATTTTATCATAATACTTATGAATAAAAATATTAAAACTTTTATTTGTGTGTTTATTCTGTTTCTTCACTAAAATATAGGCTTCAAGAAGTGCAAGGACTTTGTATAATATGAAGCTATATTCCTGAGGGCTGCAAATGTGACTGGTACATACAAGAACTCAGTAAGTAATTTTTGAATGAATAAATGATTAAGAGTTAAAACTGTATAATATTCATCATAATGAAACAGTCCTTCAAATTTTTTTTCTGGTACAAATTCAAATTAGTTACTTTAAAATGATGCTTTGTTTTCTAAAACTAAAACTCTCAAATTGTTAAAGTGTTGATAGTTGTTAGGACTCTGTAAGAATTATCGAATTTAATTCTCCCCCAGAGTACACTTTGTTATTTACATTTCATTGATGAGAAAACTAAGATTTAGAAATGTTAAATAAATTAAGACCTGGCTGGGCTTGGTAGCCCATGCCTGTAATCCTAGAGGAAAGATTACAAGTTTGAGGCTGGCCTCAACAACTTATCAAGGTGCTAAACAACTTAATAAGACCCCGTTTTAAAATAAAAAGCAAAAAGGATTGGGGATGTAACTCAATGGTAAAGCACCCCTGGGTTCAATCCCCAGTAGCCTTCTCTCCTCAAAAATTAACACCTACAAAATAGCTTATTGTCAAACAAACATGAGTGAATAAAGCAGAATGTGAACCTTGGCCTTACTGCAGAGCTCAAGTTCTAGATCACTACTTTATATGCCTTCTTAAATTGATTTGCCTGATTGTAAATAAGATTCAGTATTTGCACTAGACTACATTTGTAATTTAGGACTCAAAGGTTTCAAAATGAAAAATTTCCTACAGAACATACTAAGATTAGAATGTACAAGTATGCAATTAAGAATCTTTCAGAGTGATACCTGAAAGAAAAGTAGCTCTATTCCATCATCCACAGTGAAAATATTAATTTAGAGAATCAATGTATATACTAGAATATGTGAAGAACTAATATAAGTTATTATGAGATAAACTGATATACCTAGTTAAGACTATCAAAGATGAAAAGAGTCCTAAATGTATTGCTAATGGTTATTGTGCTTTTCCTCATCTTTCCAGTTTGCTAAACTTGATTTTACTATAGGCTCCCAATGTGATAGAACAGCCTTTAAGTTTCTGGGAATTGTTCTTTGTTCTGAACCAAGTCATTTATTACTAATATCAGAAAGCCTTGCTCCAAATGCCCTGGTCCTCTGCAGTGTAATTCACATTGTAATTTCACAGGCTACTGCCTCACCTGTAGGGGTACCATCTGGAAGGAGAATTATACCTGATATTTTCTCCTATGATGCTCATGGGGCACTCTTCTTTCAAAGAGTCATTTTTACTTTTAAAAATTAAATATTCTATTTATCCTTCAAAAATTAAGTATCATAGAATATGTAATTAAATCAAGGACCAGAATATTAACATTATTCATAGAAACGGGAGCCTTATTTTTAAATACCTGCTTATGATAATCTTCTTGATAGAACAACAACAAATAATAATCTTCTTGATAGAACAATAACAACAACAAATAAAACCCTGTGATACCTTCAGTATAAAGTGTTTCTCTTCTCATTT